TATGAGCCAGATTCCCGAGTGTGTACGCACTCCACTGCTTTTGAGCTCGCGTTCCTGTGCGCAGTAGTTCAACTAGAGCAGGAATGGCGCCTTCTTGAGCGATCAGCACGCGGTTCTCTTCGTTGCTAAGTGACAGAAAGCCCAAAGCATATACAGCCCATTGGTTCAGAGCATCCGTCGCAGCCTTCACAAACGCCACGAGGGGAGGGATGGCGCCTTCACGAGCGATTTTAGCTCGGTTCACTGGGTTGTTCGCAGCCAGATTTCCCAGAGCGTAGGCGGCTTCCTGTTTGTGCATGTCCGAGCCAGAACGCAACAGCTCAACCAGCGGTGGGATGGCTCCTTCACGTGTGATTGCCACGCAGGTCTCGTCGCTGTCACTAGCGAGAGTCACCAAGGCTTCAGATGCCCAGAGCTGTTGGTTTGCGGTGCCGCCAGACAGAAGACGAACCAGTAGAGGCAACACTCCAACGCGACGCAGAGTGTCTCCGTCTCCACGTGTAGCCAAGCAGGAGCATTGCAGTGCTGCGACTTCTTTCGTCTTGTCGTCCCCGTACTGCAGTTCGTGTAAGATTGATAGGATTTCCGAGTGCGTTGGCTCTCGAGCACACTCTTGCAGCTTCATGAAAGCGGATTCGCTCATCTTGGAATAGGAGAAGGTGAACCAGCTCAGACAGTGCAGAGCGTAGAGCTGAGTGAAGAAGTTGTCGGAGTTGTGGACCAAGTCCGTGAGTACAGGAATCCCCTTGGTTTTGTAGACTTGGACGCGGTTGCTGCTGGTGACGCACATGCTCATGAGATGCAGCAGAGCTCGTTCCTTTTGCTGCTCTGTTGTTTGATCCGATCCAAGTAACTGAATTAGTCGTGGAACTGATGACTCATCAATAGGAGTAGACGAAGACAGTGGAGACTGCGGAGCCGCCTCCTTCTCCTTGTCCACCTGATCGACAACGTTTTCCATCAACGCTGGCTCCTCACCGGTTGGTGTCTTGTCCTCTGCGTCATCGCCCGCACTTGTCTGCTTCAATTCGGCTAACTCAACTTTTGGAACGGCCAGCACATTCGCACCAATCACCACGTTAGCAGTGCTTTGGCTCGATGCAGAGTTCAGCACCTTCTCCTCAATCTCGGTATCTGCATTCTCGTCCATGTCACTTCCTCCAACCTCTGCCATTACCTGCATCAATGTAGCCTCATCAGTTAATGCCTTCTCTTCCAACTCATCGTCAAGCTTCGTTTCAGCTGTCGGATTCTCCTCGATATACTTCAACGCGGGCTTCTCGTCAGTGACAGCGGGTGTATCCGTCTCCACGAAGGATGGTTGACGGACCTCCCCCACCTCGATGGCAGCGAACTTCTCAACTGTAGGCCCCCGTTCATTCACCACCTTCTTCTTCTTGACTAGTTCAAGTTGTTGCCTGTCCGCAAGGAGTGCAGCGTGGATTTGGTCGTGACTAAGTCGGATATCACCGTGCATATTTTCAAGCTTAGCAAAGAGTTTCGCCGCGTTACTGGAAGCCGTAGCTTGTGCGTTCATCGCCGTCACAGTCGCAGCGAGGTTCAGCATTCGGAAGAGTTCGTCGATTTCGGAGGCGATTTTCTGTCGTTTTTCCTCCATTTTGACATGTTTAAACATCCGAACAACTCGGTGCATGTCATAATACTTTTGCAGATACTTCGAGAACGAGTCCACCGCAGTCACAAACCTCTGGACGGCTTTTGCTCGTTGCAGGGTGGGGTTCTCTTGAAGAGGTGGCGACAGTTGAAGCTCGACGTAGATCTCCATCATCCGCAGATAAGTCTTCCGGTTCTCGTGGCGTTGGCGACGAATGGCATCACGCAACTCAAAGATTTGGCGAAGAGCATCGAGGGTGGTGAGCGCGAGGTCCATCAAGAAAAGTCTTGGAGGTTGTTGCTCACTTGAGTGCTTGGTCGTGGATTGCAGAATGAACCAAACAAGGGCAAGGAAAAATGGTGTTGGTCAGCTTGCCAAGGTATCCTTGACGGGATTCCTTGGCGGGTGGTCATGGTCCATGGATCGCGGAGAAATGTCAAGATGATGCTCAACTGCCTTCCGCCTCGTCCGACCGACGGGTGTGATTTTTAACGCACGTGGCCGCCGTTGTACTACTTCTTAGTTTGATAGAGAAAACAAGTGAGCAAACGCATGCTGCCTGTGGACACCTTGTTGACTACCGAGGCTTGTCTCAAGCTAGAATTTGAAATGTGTCGAGGCACGCCTCGTGCGAAGTGTATTCGTTCTAAGACTTAGAGGTAAGGCCGGTTATCACTAGAACGACGTGTCTTGCAGCACTTGCTCGGGTTTCTTTCGTCACTCTGGAACGATCCCAGACCTTCGATTCAAGTTTGAAAGAGCCAAACCGAAAAGATGCTATCCTAGCGACTCATGTGGGGCAGTCATTGATGCAACGCTGTCAGTGCTGCTGATCAGCACTATTGGATAAATTACGCTTACATGTCAGCTTGTTTAGAAGGAAGATCGCTCCTGAAAGGTCGAATCGCTGGGTTCATCGGGAAAGACGCTCGCTTTAAATTCTTCCAGATCTTGCTCAACTATCCTAGCATGTCCGTCAGGTGCGTGCGTATGAGTGTATGCTTCACGATGGCATTTTCTTTTGGGTTTGGTGTGTATTTTCAGAATTGTGAGCTTGCGGCGAACGTTGCGCTGATGGTTGGAGGCTGA